GCCCAGCTGGTCCCCCAATATTGCAAAATTATCTCTTGTCATTTCTCTCTCATTTGTTGTGCGGCTCCTCTTTCAGATACCGAACCCTACTCCATGCAGAACGTGGAGGGAGTGTTACTTGACAGTAGGGCTTGGAAGTTGTCAGGGCCACAGAATAAAGACTGAGTCCCACCTGGGTGGGAAAAACTCCTGTCGCCAGATACATGGGCTCCTTGTATAGGCCCCTAGGGCTCTGTCTATATCTTTAAAGTGTGTTAGGGCTCCAGTCATTGCAAGCAAGGAAAACAACTAAACTCAGATGGGCTCCAAGCTAAAATGTAGATGTACAGGGATACTTTACTGACAAGGCGAAGGGTGCTGGCTTCAGGCACTGGGCTCAGAATTTAAACTTCTCTACTCTCAGTTCCATCGATTGCACCGACTTCAGTCTTGAGCTCCACGTGGTAGCCGGCAGCGCCAAGTTCATGTCTTCACTACACTAAGTCCCACAGAAGATAGAGCCAATTTCCCTGATGTCGTCACAGGAGTCTCAAGAATTGAGTTGTTGGCCCTGATTTGTCATCTGTTGATTCTGAGCTAAACTTCTGTCACTAACGAATGAAACGCATGGATTGACCTAGCTTAGGTCCACGGGGCCGGGTGTGTGGGAAGGGTGGATTTTCAAGGAAAAGAAGGGCAGTCATCAGAGGAAAAGGAGTGCTGGACAACAGGAATAATAAATGCCCACCTAAGTTTATAATTACGGCTTTAACTTCCATGATGTCCCTCAAAACCAAACCAAACCAAACCAAACCCCGCCTATCCCGAGTGCTTTGTCTGAAAGCAGACAACAGCGAAGCACACACAGACCATTTTTCTCTGGAAGGTGATTCCGTGATTTGCTTTCAGGTAACGTCATTTGGAAGCGCGTCTCCGCAGTACACGTGTTCTTTTGCGTGGTGTGGGCTGCCAGCTTGGCATACCACCTCATGCTTCAGGCACAGTGGAACGTCTTACAGGAGGAAGAAGGCAGGTGAGCACTGACCTTTGCTCTCTGGGAGAGGTGGGAAGGAGGAAACCTGATCCTTCTCAACACCTTATCTGTGCATGTCTCCACCTACACCATGAAAAGCAGGGGCGGGGTCATCGGCATTACAAACTGAAGAAACTGAAGAAATGATGGAATCAGCACTCACACCCAGCACCATCTAGCCCACTCCGTGATCACTTCCCCAGGCAGCACTGCATATTACATTACTGTCAGGCAGTGGACCTTGGCCCCTTAAAATGAGCAAAGATAACAGTCCAGTCTAATCAGGTGAAAACTCCATCAGCACTGATTCAGTTTGGAGCCAAGCCAGAATCTTATCTACAAGTGTGATCAGCCACCTCAGAGGTCAGCCTGGTTCAGCTTGGCCCCGGCATATCTCCTGTCATCTCCCTGTCGTGGGCATTCATTCTTATCAGCTCTCCCTTGGCTGCCTCCCACCCTAGACATCCTGGCCTAATAGCCAGATTCCTTTACTTTTTATCCCATTGCTAACATCTGCAATACGAAGATTTAAAGACCTTTGAGTATCACTGGTGAGGTACTGCTACGTTGTAGGTCCTAGTCCAGTGATGGCGAACCTATGACACACGAACTCATTTTTTTGGTTGATTTTTCTTTGTTAAATGGCATTTAAATATATAAAATAAATATCAAAAATATAAGTCTTTGTTTTACTATGGTTGCAAATATCAAAAAATTTCTATATGTGACACGGCATCAGAGTTAAGTTAGAGTTTTTCAAAATGCTGACACGCCACGCTCAAAAGGTTCGCCATCGCTGTTCTAGGTCCTAGTCCTTGGAAAGCTGGATCAGGTTGGGTCAATGGGAATGTAAACCAAATGTGTTGAGTCACCTCCACCCACTTGATGCCTACAAGGTATGGTGAACTCAAAGTGGGGCTTCCAGTGGTACTGTGGCCAAACACAATTATTTTCTACTCTATAAAAAAATAAGTGCATTTAACATATATTTCTAGCATTAGTCAGGCTCACTACAAATCATTTATCTTCATGAAGATGTAGCCTGATCTCTGCAACATGTGCTCAAACCATCTGTGCTCAACCTAACACCGAGCACTCGAAGGCTATATAAAAAGAATACCTGATCAAGTTGAAATTTTCTTGGTTGTAGTATTCCGCCCAGTGACATGAAGTGATTTAGCTGTGTTTCCGTTTTATTGGTTTTGTTGTTGTTGTTCACTTCTACATTGGGGAACAGTCATGGAGTTCATATCTGCTTTATAAAATGGAATTTATTTTTTCATAGGGATTTAATGGAGGAAAAAAGTAATTTTTAAATCATATCAGACTTGAAAAATATTCTATAGATGCTATGTATCTTGGGGGAAGCCATTCAACAACCAGAAATCATGTGCCATGGAGATAATGGGGTGATATGCATCTCCCTTGCGGCTATGTCACAAAGATGAAATGTTTGCTATTTTATAGGGAGCTGTTTGGTCTGGTGATCATTGCAACATGGATGAGTCTATGCCACAGTTCATCAAAGTAAGTTTTCAAATCAGATGTGTTCAAAGTTGATGAGTTCAAGTAGGTTAGTGAGAATATTGAAACACAAATAAACACAGTAATCTTTTGAAATAAAAATGTCCTTTCCTAAGGAAAGCTAATAGTTGAGTCAAAGTTTCATGATCATTAATCATGAATACCAGTTTCCTACGTGGCCCAGTGTAATCATATGGAGTTGCCAGCATAAAGGTGTTCTTTAGGAAGAAGGAAAAATGATCTCAGAAGGAAGCTAGGAGATTTAGGAAAGAATGAAGAGCAATTTTTTCTTTAAAAGTGTGAGTATATATAAATGAATATTAACTTTATAAAACAATAATAATGACATTTTGTGGACTTAAACATATAAAGAATAAAAATGCATAACAAGCATACCATATGTTAGAAGGGGAGAAATGAAGGTACAGTGTGCTAAGATCCTTAAATTATCTAGGAAGTAGTATCAATTTATATTAGACTTTGATAAGTCAAGAATTCATGTGGTAATCCTTAGGTAACCACTAGAAGAAAAGGATGATTATAAAGGGCAGGAAAAGAGAAGGGAAAAGGATAGAACAGATGGGAAAATAGGAAGCAGATGTTTAGAGAAATCCAAGTATATGAGAAGTCATGTTAAATGTAAATGTTCCAAATATTCCAATTAAGAGTTCAGGATTTTCAAAGTGGATAAAAAGATTAAAAACCCACTAAACACTGCTTATAAAATTCACCCCTTAAGTATATAGATACAGAAAGATTGAAAGTCAAAAGATGGAAAAAATACATTATCCAAATACCAATCAAATGAAAGTTAGTACATCAATTTTAAAAATAGACTTCAAGGGCAGCATTAAAGAAAAAGGACTTTTTGCTGATTAAATTTTTTTTTTTTAAATATTCAAACATATACAAAATCAGAGAGATTAATAAACATAGTGAATTAGATGTACCTATCAACTAGCTTAAACGATTTTCAATATATGTCCAGTCTTGTTTCATCTGTATCACTGTCCTCTCCACACTTACCTTGAAATAAATCTGAGACACATTGTTTTATCTGTAAATATTTCAGTATGTATCCTTAAAAGCACTTAAAAAAATAACCACTCTACCATCATCACACACAAAAATTAAAAAAATAATTCTTCAAAACTGAGTTTTCCATTCAATGTTTATATTTCCCCAACTGTCCTGTAAATGCCTCCTCCTCTGTGCTCTATTTTTTTCAATAAATTGGTGATTAGATCTAGAGGCCTGGCCAGATTCTGGTATTATTACTATTACTACTAAGCAAAACTACTTCATAATACTTCATGGAAGTATTATGTACTTCCATCATAATATACATAATGCCTAGCTGTTTCTTTGTAATGTTAATAGTCTTTGTGATTATTGCCTAAGCCCATTAATTCGAGTTGCAAATACTGGTATTCTGATTATACTATTCCTTGATTATTAGTTGGAAAACTTCTATGAAGAGAAGCTTCCACTTATCAATTCTTTGAGATATAGATCATAAGAGGAAAAGGAAAAAAAGGAGCTCTTAATTTACCAGTTATCAAAATAATGAGTCTTTCCTGCCTGAGCGTCTTCCAATAGTGACCAATGTTCTGTTAGGAGTGTTATTATAAAGTCATGGGTTTCAACATAGTTTATGTTTTTTCACTCCATGGAAGTTATCAAGTTATTGATGCTCTACCTGTCCTTCCTCAACCAGTTGCACTTATTCAGGTTTGGATCCTGAGTTCTTTTTGACATAATCATAGTAATTTTTGCTTTTTGGTATGACAAAATGTTCCAAGATAACGTTGTACATTTTAAGCCCCAGACCTGGAATCAACCATTTTCCAAAAAAGCCCTGGTTATTTTTGGTAGATAATGGTATTTAGAGGTCACAATCCAGGCATAAGCAGTGCTTGTTGCTACTGGATTGTCGATTGTTCTTTTTAGTGGACAGAGCTAGGAAATTCTCATCTATGTGTAATGTATATATATTATACATATAAAGATAATCTATAATAATAAAAGCATAATATGCAAATCAACCAAACGACTGAATAGCAGAACGACGGTCCAGACAGCTCTCTGGACAACCACGCTATGACACGCACTGGTGCCAGGCCTGCCAAGGCAGACGCAAAGCGATTGGGCAGGGGGCCTTGCCATAGCCCCAGGATTGCCCAGCAGAGTGAGGCGCAGGCCGCCGGCAGGGCAATCCATGGCGGGGGTTGGGAGGGGGGTGCTCCATGATCACCCCAAAGAGGGAGGCACAGGCTACCCTCTGAGCGTTGATCAATCTTGGAGCCCTGACCAGGTGGGTGGAGCCTCCCTCTGCTGGGCGATTGATCGCGGAGCAGAGGCCCAGGCTACCTGGCCCTGGGCCAGCGGTGCTACAGTGGGTGGGCGAGGACTCCCTCTGCGCAGTGATCAATCTGGGACCCTGCCCGCAGAGGGAGGCCCAGGCCAGCCAAGCAATCGCACCCGACACCTGTCGCCCACAGAGGAAGGTGTCCAATGGTGGGGGAAGGGGGAAGCACCGCACAGATGGCAAGCAGTGGCAGCCATGGGGGCAGGTCCAGCTGCCGGCAGCCAGGGGAAGGAAAGCCCCGATAGGCCCTGATCACTGGCCAGGCCTAGGGACCCTACCTGAGGGGTCCCGGATTGTGAGAGGGCGCAGGCAGGGCTCAGGGACAATCCCCTCCACCCCCCACTCCACTACACACATACCCCGTGCACGAATTTTGTACACCAGGCCTCTAGTTTTACATATATACTTAAAAATATCTTACGTGTTCCTACTAATCCCAGCAATTCAAATTCAAGAACACAGATTTTCATTTAACTTTATCAGCAATCTTAATCTATATTTCCTTTTAATCATGTCAAAAATCTCATCTCAACTAAAATACAGAAAAGCTTCCTCAATAATCAATGGAAAACTCACAGGAGAAAACCCTGACACCTGAGGACCGAAAGTGGAGATTGCATAGAGACTGTTCTAAAAAAAAAAAATCTCATCTCAATATCCTCAACATAACTCATTTGACTTAACCCACAATACAAACACAACCTCAGAATAACAATATGATTACTAAAGATTTTTTTGGAGTATTTTTGTTTTGTTTCAAAACAGCTTTCTAAGGGATGTATATTCAAATTGCTTGAGATAGTTACTCTATGTACTAACCCTAACAAAATAATACTGTTAATTTCACTTTCATTTCTAGAGATAACTTTATTAAAAATAAATTTTGTTTATAATATAAAGTATCTACATGGTCCCAGAGTCAAATCTACAAAACAGAGTATATTCAAAGACCTCTAGCTTCTTAGTCCCCCAACCCTATACCCTCCTTCTGTCTACAGGTAAAACTTTTTTCAATTTTATGGTTTATCCTTCCATGGTTTCTTAATGGAGCAAATATGTGCATTTATTTGTATTCCTGCTTGTCTTAGAGAATTATACAATGTTCTCTCTGATTTTTCCATCACTATATGCTAAAGATCACTCAGTAGTATATACAGACTTTTCTTATCTGCTGATAGGTCCAGAGTATCCAATATTTTGCTGTTAAATAGAATTCTAAGAGTATATTGTCAAAATTTGGAATTTTTAATTACTAGAGGCCCAGTGCACAAAAATTGCCCACAGCCCAACCTGTGCCCTCTTAGTCTGGGATTTCTTGGGGGATGTCCCCCTGCTGGCTTAGGCCTGCTCCCTGGGCGATCAGGCCTAAGTTGGCAGTCAGACATCCCTCTGGCAGCCTGGGAGCCCTCAGGGATGTCCACTTGCCAGTGGGGAGCAGACCTAAGCTGCAGTCAGACATCCTTAGCGCTGCTGAGGAGACGGGAGAGGCTCCCACCACCACCACCACCACTGTGCTGGCAGCCGTCAGCCTGGCTTGTGGCTGAGCTGAGCTCCCCCTGTGAGAGTGTAATGACCACTAGGGGGCAGCTCCTGCATTGAGTGTCAGCCCCTGGTGGTCGGTGTGTGTCAGAGTGACCAATCATTCCCAGTCATTCTGGTGTTAGGGTCAATTTGCAAATTACCCTTTTGTGTGCGTGGCTTGAGCATAGCAGAGGGACAGTTAATTTGCATGTTTCTCTTTAATTATATAGGACTAGAGGCCCGGTGGA